TCTAAATTTAAGACTGACCAAGTAGTAGGAAAACTAGGCAACAAAAATTATGACTAGGGACAACTAGCAGTAGAACGACCTTAAAGTTTTATATTACCATACACGAATGTTGGAGTAGAGATGATTAAAGTTGCTTATAAGCACTAAATAAGTAAATCTCAAACGTCTTCTAAAACTAGAACTAGGATTGAGGACTATTAAGACTAAGATTAGGACGATAAACATTATAACTAGAAAAAAGACTACTAAGATTAGAATAGGACTATAAGGACTAGGAGTAATAAGATTAGGAATGAGACTAAGACTAAGGCTTAGGAAACTAGAACTACCATTAGGATTAAGACTATCACTAGAATCAGAACATTATCATTACTAGGCTAACTAGACTATGACAACCAAGACTAGAACCACTAGCAGTAAGACCTCAGTAACTAAGACTAGGACTAGGTCAACAACTAGGAATTAGACTAGGACAAGTAAAACTAAAACCACTGGACCATAACAAGGACTACTAAAAACGATAACTAGGACCATAACGACCAAAGACTAAGATTAATAGTAGTAGGAGTACTAGACTAGAACTATTTTCTACTAGGACTAGAAATAGAATTTAATTATTAGAACAAAGAGTAGAATTAGAATGACTTCAACTAGGAATAGAACTACTAGACTTGAAACTATGAGTACAAGGACTACTATTACTTGTACTACTAAGAACTAGGACCATTAAGACTAGCTTGTTAGAAGCCTTAGTCATGCTTGTCTGATCTTGAGAAATAAAGGAAAAGAGAAAGAAGAGAGAAAGAGAAGAGAAATAGAAAAAGAAATTTGTGAAATTATTCTTATTTTTTTCCTTGATTGATTATAAGCATAAAAAGTGAGTATTTTATAGGCTATAAAGCAATAAAGAGGCGACAATCATGGCCGAAATCAATGGTCTATTCATGATGCAGCGGAACTGTGATGAAGATGCTTTCAGAATTACTAACCCTAACTCTAAATATTAACACTCTAAAAGACTATTTTGTCATTCTCTCTTTTTTTTTAATTAATTTTTTTTACTCTTAATATCCTGACAATACTCTCCTCTTGAGTTTTAACCTTATCCTCAAGGTTGATTTGGGAAAATTTTTTCTTCCAAAGCTCCTTCTGTAATAATTTCCTTCATGGTCATTACGTTTTTATTTGTGCAACAGTATTCAGGGAAGTATCAGTCTTCACACTTGTAGCAAGTAGTCGTTGCTCTTCTAGGTTCTGTATCTCTTCAAAGCGATTGACCATAATTTCTTATTTCAGATACTTTCGCAACTTTAGTTATTTTATCAATAAGATATGAACTTCAGGACAGTTCTATAACATATTGTTCTTGAAGTAAAGTTTGTTCGAATGCTTGATTAAGCGTGTGGTTTAAGGAGTCTTACAATGAGTTGCAGTTGTGGCTTGAGGTCACTGATAAAGGTGGATAAGAAAAATATGTCTGAAAGTGTTGGGTTTTCTGCATCCACGAGAAAACGTAAGTGTTCAAGTTGTTTTTGATAGTCGAGAACAGTACCTGTTTGAGATAACTTAGTAAACTCCTCTACGAAATCCTTTCGCGATGAATTCCTTAACCTACGACAAAGTTCTTCCACAAAATAATCTCATTCTATAACATCAATTTTAGCTTGCCACCCACAGTACCATATATTGGCCACTTCTCCCAAATATAACGATGCAATCTCCATTTTATGCTCATCAGGAATATTGTAAATCATAAAATATTTTTCGCATTTTCAAATCCACCCACGGGGATTTATTCCTTCAAAAAGTGGAATTTCTACCGTAGGAAGCAAAAAAAATAGGCAGAATTGGTTTTGTGCATAGGATCCATTGGGCTGGTCCGATTCAGACCGGTTCGAGCAGCAACAAGGCAGGTCCGGTTCAAACCGGGTAAGGTCGGGTCAACTTGGTTTAAACCGGATCAATTCAGGTCGATTCTATCTGCTTCATCCACGAGTTCGGTTGGGTCCACGGAACCGGACTTAAATGAAGGTCAAAACCCTGCTGCAGAACTGTGGACACTGCTCGGGGGCACAACAAAAGGTTGGCCACCACTCGGGAGAGGAAGCACACCTCCCTCTTCCCGTGCACCCGATGCCAGTTTTGGCGGGTCGTCAATGGGTGTCCAAGCATCATTTGCACCGATCAGAAAGGGAAACAAATCTCCCTCCTCACATGCATCCGTCGGCAGCTTCGGCTAGTCTTTTGAGGTCGTCCCGCAGACCTATCCCATGATGGTGCTCAGCTGTTGGCAGAATTCCCTCCTCATTTCGTATACCTCTTCCATGAAGGAGGTAAGTTTATGATCGATGTCCTTCACGGTAAGTTAGAGTGTTTCGGGATTCTCTGGTCGGCCACCATCGCGGCCTTCCTTTCGACTGAGTGCAAGTTGTGACTTTGACAAAGGATTCAGCCGATTCCTCCTCCGATACCACTTTATCAAAAGCCTTAGTCATGACTGCCTAATCTTGAGAAAAAAAGAAAAGAAATATGCGAAATTATTCTTATTATTTTCCTTAATTGATTATAAACATAAAGAGTGAGCATTTTATAGGTTACAAAGCAATAAAGAGGCGACAATCATGGTCAAAATCAATGGTCGTTCATGATGCAGTAGCAGCTATGATGAAGATGCCTTCAAAATTACTAACCCTAACCCTAAATATCCCTTTTTACTCTTAATATCTTGACATGACGCTAATAGGATTAAGATTAGTAGAGTAAGACTAGTACTAGCAAGCAAGAATCAGTATTAAAACTACTAGAACAAGCACTAAGAGTAAGACGAATGGGAGCAAACTATAACTAAGATTACTAAATTAAGACTACGTGATGCATGACAAGTAGCAGTTAAAATACCTTGTCCAATCTCAGTTGGTATTAGATCCGAACTTCTATTCATATTTTTAGCCACTTTTTTACACTGCAAAAAAAAAAAAAATCAAGAGTTTTCCACAACATCATTTTGGTCAAATGTGCGCTTCATAGTAACTTTTAAAGTAGATCAGCTTTAACTCGACATAAAATCTACAAAAGTTTTGTCATAATTCATCATATAATCTACCTAATTATATATAATATGTTATCCTAAGTTGTTGGTCCTTATGGATGCATGGAAAGTATTGAGATACCCCTAAGATTAATTTTTATAAAAGATATTATCTATAAAAACTCTCTCAATATTTGTTGCATATATAAGAGTTGTTGTTTGGTAAATACTGAGTGTGAAATAGGCTTAAATTTAAAATTTAAAATATAAGATATACCATAAAAACTAAAGATTGAGCTTAAGAGTAGAACTAACACTTCTCATGTATTTAAAGATAGAAATTTGAATCTTCTTCCGAACCACCAAATAACAGCTAAGGATATTGACTCCAGCTAAAGTTGTTTCTACTCGTGATGATGCTGAGGAACTTCCTCCTTTCAACAATTCTATTTTACCTCCTAATATCATAAGTGGTTTCTGTCTATATATTAAAGATATTTCTTGAGATAATTTCATTTCGCCTTGTTAGTTTCATGATCCTAAGGAACCTACAACTTCGATCAACTTTTGTTTGAAGATTATCAAAAGTCTCAACTTTTGAAATTTTAAAAACGTATCCCAAGCTCTTCCTATTTTGATGCTCTTTGCCAATTTAAAACTCAATGTCGAGTTTTCACCAAATTGGATAAAACATAACAAAAAAATCTTAACTTGGAACTAACTTTCAATTAAACAAATATTTTGCAGTTATTATCATTATTTTGTTTTTTTAGTTATTTATATTATTTAGATTTATCTAAACCCTATAATACTCTAGTTTTTTTTTTGGTAGATTTAGATATTATAATACTAAAATTTTTTAAATTTCTTTTTTTATAATTTTTCCTATTTTTTGTAACTAATATCTACAAAAGGCTAACAGCTTTCAACAAAAAAGATGAGGCAATAATGAAACAAGAATCTATTTGTTAGGATTTTATTCTTCTTGTCTCTATTTGTGTTTGTTCTTTTGGTTATTATTCTATATAATCTATCTCGTTTATTATACTTCTTTCATATATTCTTTTACCTTGATCTCTAATTTTCTCTTATCTATCGATAGTCTTCTGTTTCTCATCCAAGCTTTCTCTATTTCTAAATTAAATATTGGTCAAGTTAGTCTAATTGCTACTTACCCTGCATCATTAAAACTACTAGTACTACTATTAGGAATAAGACTAACATTACTGTGAATAAGGATTACTAAGACTGGGGCTGTTTAGACTAGGACTACTTAGATCAGGACCTAGGACCAAGACTAGTACTGCTAGAACTGTAACCATTAGACAATGATTTCCATATTAAAAGAAAGATTAAGACGATTAGAACTGAGCATTAGATTATGGCTAGAATTAGGACTACTATATGAAATACAATTATGACTAGAACTAAAATTACTACATAAATACTATTAGACAAGGATAAGAAGTCTTGGACAACTTAGACTAGGAGGAAGAGTAAGAGGAAGAGTAATATTATGATTTAGATGACCAGAACTAAGATTATTAAACTCGAACTATGACTACAAAAGGATAGGACTAAGACAACTTGAACTAGAACTACTATGACAACTAGAACTAGGATTAAACCAACTAGGATTATTAGGAATAATATTAGTAGACTACGACTAAGACTACAACTACAACCAGAAAAATTGATGATTAAAACTAAGTCTTGAAGATTTTAGGGAAGGAAGATGAAGATTTTCAAGAGGAGAACAATTCCTCTGATTTTCCTTGCATTACAGAATAAGGAGGGTACCATTATATAGACACCTGACACTCAAAAAAATATTCTAACAGAATGAAGGAAAAAGGAATATTGTGGTAGCGGGTATCTCCACCTGTTCACAACAAAATTACTAAACTACCCTTTCATGATTTTCTACACTCCCCCTCAATTTAGATTACATAAATATTGAGTAATTCTAATTTGGATACAATATTATTAAACACCCCTTTTGGTAGTGCCTTTGTGAGTATGTCTGCAATTTGTTGACTGGTTGAAACATGTAGTAGTGTTATGACTTGGTCTTCAATTTTTTCCCTAATGAAGTGTCGATCAATCTCAACATACTTGGTTCTAGTACACAAGATTTTTTGTCATACTAATAGTTGATTGAATATCACACCAGAGTTTCATATGGGGTAGAAACTGAGAATCTTAATTCAACTAATATCTTTTTCAGCCACACTCTTTCACATATCCCATGAGCAAGTGATCGTAATCAGCTTCAGCACTGCTTGTTGCTACAACAAATTATCCTTACTACACCAAGTGACTAGATTGTCTCACACATATGTACAATAACCAGATGTGGATCTCTTATCAGTTACTGATCCTGCTAGTATGCATCAATAAAGATTTCAATGCCTCTGTTCATTGTTTTTTGAAAGAATTATCTCTGTCCTGTGTCGTTTTTAGGTATCTTAAAATTCGGTATATCGCACTTATGTGTTTTTCAGTAGGTTGATACATGAATTGACTCGCAGTACTCACTGCAAAACTGATGTTAGGTCTTACGTGAACTATGTAGATAAGTTTGCCTACAAGTCTCTGATGCCTTTCTCTATCAACAAGTTTACTATTAGTTTTAAGACCTAGTTTAGCATTTAACTTCATAGGTATTTCTGCGGGTCTACAACCAAACATTCATGTCTCTTTCAGGAGATCCAGGACATATTTCCGTTGTGATACAGATATTCTTTTCTTAAACTGAGCTATTTCTATTTTAAGAAAATATTTGAGTATCCCAAGGTTTTTTAT